TTCTCCCGATTCAGGTGCGCTGAACTCCTGGTCCCCCTCCCCCCTTGACGGCAGTTTTATGGGGGGAAAACTGGAAAAACTGGAGATTTTCCCCAGAAAATGGAACTGGCTGAAGGTTGAGGAAACAAGAATGTGATATGTATGATAAGGAAGAGGATGTCCTGGAAAAATAGTTTTGAGAGGGGGGGGGGGCGCTTGATCAGAAGAGCGGACCCCAGTTTCAAAAACAGCTGAATATCCATGAAATACGAACATCGGGTATACGACGGAACTCAGTTATCTCATGAATGAAACGGGAATTTTTTCCCCCAAAGAGATCAAAATTGATCAACGCCTAGCCTTCGAAAACATGAAAATTACTAAAAGGAAGGAAATTGTAAGAATGAAAATAAAAAATCTACCCACCCTGAGACTCAAAAAAAGTCAAAGCCTCCCAATGAAGAGCCCGGTTCTGGGATTTTGTGACGCATTCCAGAATTAGAACATTTTACAGCTATGTAGGAAGGGGGCCAAGTAAGGGTAATCTTGAGACAATCTAGCAACTGCTTTTCCGAAAATTCGAGTAAACCTATGTTTCCGATTTGTTTTCGATTTCCTAAATTTTATATTTCCTACCTCGCTTCCATAGTCTTCTCACTTGTGCTCCTGAAGTGCACAAATGAAATTTATAGCTCGGAACTGTTCGCAGAGACGACGGGTCATATAATGCACGACGGGTATTGCGGGGAACAGTAAGAACTACATAACTGTAATCCTTCATGGATTAGTTCTCCAAGTTTCCGGCACGCCGAAGCTGACTTCGAGTCCCAACCAGGGCTTATCTCACCAATTCCACCTCACAGGTGACTCTCGGGGTTGACGAAATAGCGATGGTCCGCCCGAAAAGGGGTGAAACCAACTAATTTATTCTAAAAAGGCATAGCATTCTGTGTATAACCCTACACCCTAGCAACAAACAAGGCTACTAAGTTACCAAGTTAGTGACAGTCCTATGGAAGATAAATAAAAATGAATAGCACGTGAGGTTTTCACCGTACCACTACACTGCGCACGAAAACTTCAAGTTCACCCAACTTGGAATTCTTTTTCCTTCATTTATAAAAAAATCCCGTTACACATAATTTATAAATAGGAGATTGGGTGCCTTTCCTGTTTTTACTCGCGTTAGGCACAGCCCTTGATGTGTTACTGATTACTCTGCCAGTTTCTTATGCGATTCCCCCTCTTAGAGATGATTAATGGGATTTCCAGTCATCAGCGATGGATTACAGCAATGATTTGCACTACATAGCTCTTGAGGGTCTGCCGAATGTAGCCCGCGTCCAGCTCGTCTTGTCACCCAGGGTGACGAATATGTGACAGGGCTCTGATCGGTACACTAACGTTAAACTGACATCGCACCTCAGAGTGACTGAAGGATGGGTCCACTAGCAGCAGCGCTTCCGTGCGCGTTTCCTTCAAACGGCGAAAGCTATTGAAATTGATGCCTTTGTGACACAGAGGTTCTTCTGAGGAGAAAGGCACTCGTATGATTGATTCAGTGGATCTCATTAGCGGGCTTGGAGCTCTAAAGAGCGATGACAAGGGCTGTTGAACGGTTTTTGGATAACAGCCAAGGTGAAAGAAGAATCAGCTGGGAGCTATGTTGAGGCTCTACTTCAGCTGAATTACATTTCATTTTTGTCAAACGGGTTTTTTGGTAGAATCATTTATTGGTGAGACATTCCTCTTCGTCGTCTTCGGGGGCCTAGAAGTGGCTCGACTACCGTATTTTACGAGTCCAGCCAAGCTTAGACTTCCTCTTAGTCGAAGCCTGACATTTGTTATCGAAGAGCGAATGAGGGATCGTTCTCATCCACGAAGTGGCCTTCTCCCACGTGATGAAACTGGAAAAAGTGCTATAAAAAGGGTCAATGTCAGGGCTATAAGGTAGATGGGGAAAGAACCGTCCAGTGGGAATGCCGAGACTTCTCTCAGACCAACGCCATCACCTCCTCTGAGATCGGGACCTACTTAAGCGGGACAACTTTCTTGACATTCCACAAGCAACTACTAGGACCCGGTGGAGGCGTTGAGATCCCTTCTCTTTCGATTCAAGCTATTGTCCCTCGCGCCTGTAGATGACGAAAAAGATCTAAACCTAAGTTTCACCATCAGCTCTTCTGGGCACGTCGTACACTGGAGATCCCCAGTGAGGGGGCGCAATTGGCTATTTGCAGGGAGAGAGGGTCGTATGAAGGAGGAACTTTTGAAGGAGCCGTTTTTTGTGAAATTTCTATCCCAACGAAAGGACATGGCTACCACATAGTCCAGCTAATCAGAAGTTAGAGAAAGTGAGATGAAATTCTCAGATGTCAGACGTAACCTACATCCGAGGTGAGGGGTTAGAGTGTGGGGTAGTGGCACAACACTGCCAACAACGCCAATCGTATAGGGGAAGGGAAAGACGATGGTGTAATATGAATTACTTAGAACAGATTAAATATAGTATCCAACTAGCAGGTCAACTGTATGGATTCTCAGAGCTCATCCTCCAAAGAAAAGAAAGAAAAATGCCTGTTTCACTAGAACCATATCAATGCAGCGCCGGCTTAGCGGTTGATATGAACACCACAAATGGGGTAAGAACGATCATGGAAAAGTAGATTCATAAACAAGTAGTGTTATATGTGAGTATACTGGTTTTCATTTTGATTTTTTAAAAGGAGTCTTGAGTTTTCGTGGAGGTAGTCTCGTCACTGCTGTACTGTTGAAATCTCAAAAGGCGCCAAAGCTGAGGGTCATGATCAGGGCCTGTTTCATCCCAAATGTAAGTCCAGCTTGAATAAGTTGGGAAGTATGACGATAAACTGGCCACGGTGTAAAAAGCTACTTTGCAGCATGGGTACCGTGCACAGGGTACAGCATCGTTGTGTGAAACACATGAGGGGTCCTACTTGGCCGCTGGGGATGAATGTCGTATTTGGCCGTTGTGGGAGAGGGAGGACGGGCGATGGAAGGAAAATTCCTGTGTGAAAAACTGGAAAATGTGGGAAATTGGTAGCTAGGTGTTGGGAAGGGGGAGGGTGTACCGAGACCCTCTCTCGAGAGGAAGACACCACCATTTCCCCACGATGCTGCAGCCTGACCGTGCAGCCCCTGAGACGGGGCTTCAGCAAGTAACAACTTGGGATATATTGGGTTTGTCATACCAATAGTGTTCTTATCGCTGGCTTCCTATCTGTAGGGCTACATTCATGGGTGCGCTCTGGCGATAACGGTTCGACTACATATGATCCATTCTCCCAGTAATGAAGTGTATTCAGGGGAATTAATCTACCGAGCAGGTGAAAAGGCACCGGAACAGTGAGCCTTTGCAGTACCGAATACCTCCATCGTACTTCTGAAGGCAAGCTGATCAACAGTAACATTACATGG